TTCCTGATGTCTGTGTGATTCAGTCCAAACCTTAGGGACTTTTGATGGTAACCTGAACTTGACCAATGTCACAGTCTCCCCCGTCTCTCTGAGACTATGTGTGACACAGATCAAACTGAGATACTAACGAACACGCTAGACTGTCAGGGATAGATCCCCTGGCCACGGTCCCCTTGCCTGGTCTAGCCTCGTCCTGGTCTTCGCGCCCCGATGCCCAGGCCACATATGCCAGAACTTACTTCAGCTACTACTTAGCCCTGCTCCCGAGGGCTGGAGGCTGGATCGTGCGAGGGGACAAGAAGCGACGCACCTGTACTATCGACACCACACGTCTTGGAGCCCTTCCTGTGCCACCCCGTTGCAGGGTCCTGCCGTGTTTTCCTGGTGGGTGGCCCCCGCGATTTCCAGGGGATTGTCCATAGCCCGGAAGGGTGACAGCAAGCACTTAGGCCACATGTTTCCCCAGAGGAGATCGTGCTTCCGGTCAGTGCGCACAGGCCAAGACCGGAGCTCATCCTTAGGATGAAAGAACTTTCTAAGGAGAGCAGCAAGAGAGCACGAGCTCTGACGGCAGCAAGGCTCATTGGGCGGGAAGGACCTCCCTGTCATTTCCTAGGGTGGACAGAAAGTTGGAATGACCCTGAAAGTCCTTTTCAGCTCTTTGACTCTGGTTTTAAGGGACCGCCTCTGCCTTGGAGCAGACTTCAGAGAGCTGGGGAAGAAATGCAACTGCTCCTGGTCCCAAGTGAGAAAATCATGGATGGGACCAGGCTGGACGCCAAGGACCCGGCCGTGTGCCTGTCAGTGTTTCTGCTGAAGGTAAGGCTGCTTGCCCGGTACTGCTGGGCAGCTCAAGGCCCCCGTCCCCAGGCTCTCAGGGTCACCGCCACTGGCTGTGTCCCTCTCTAGTATTTTCATGCTCATAGTTGACCTGAGGTATTTTCTCAAAGGATCAAAGTCCGTTCCTTTCCTCATTTTGCTTACTGCAGTGGACAGGCTGCTCTGTGGTTTCTCCAGACACTAACTGCTAAGACTGGCTTTTAAGTTTCTGGCTCTTATGTGTATCTGTAGACAAGTGTTGAGGCAATGCCAAGGGTATCTCTCGTCTGTCTGAGTCAGTTTGGGCTGCTATAACAAAATACCAGGTGGCTTAAACAACAGACCTTTATTTCTCATGGTTTTGGAGGCTGAGTTCTGAGATTAAGGTGTCAGCATGTTCAGGTTCCGGTGGGAGCCCCGATTCTGGCTTGCAGACGGCTGCCTTCTTGCTGTGTCCTCACATGACAGAGAGAGAGTATGCTTGCTGGCCTCTTCCTCTTCTTATAAGGACACTAACCGCATTGTGGGGCTCTACCCTCAGACCGCATCTAAAGCTGATTAACTCCCAAAGGCTCCCAGTTCCTAATACCATCACACGGTGGGGTTAGGGTTTCAACATAAGAGTTTGGGAGGGGAACAAACACTGGTCCATGACACTGGTCCACAAGCCAACCTCCACCCTGGCTGGAGACAGACACCAATACAGGACAGCAGCAGAGAGAACACAATTCTAACGAAGCCAGTCATGACCACACTGAGCATCTAGGGTGGGGAAAAACAATTGTTACCTTTTGTGTTTGGCTTTTCTTTTTGAATCATTCTGGAGACAGCTTCAGGGCATCCGAGGGGCCCTTACTGAGGATTTAGTGCAGGTTGCAGTTCTATGGCGTCCCACATTTTCAGATCCTTTCAAGAGCACCATCCCTAAGCAACCTTTCTTCTGCCATTAGCGACGGCCCCTCGTAACTCGTGTTACCGGGCGAACTCCTTTCTGCGGCGAGGAAGGGGAAGGACAAAGGCAGTGAAGGGAACCAAGAGATACATACACATCAGTGTCCCACAGTTGCTGTAACCAATTATCACAGAGGTCAGAAGTCCCAAGTCAAGGTGTTAGCAAAGTTGGTGCCTTCTGGAAGCTCAGGGAAAATCCACTCCATGCCTCTCTCCAAGCTTCTGGTGGCTGCTGACCACCCTCGGCATT